GGGTCAGGAGAGGTCTGCCACAAAATGTGGATCTCCCCCGGGGCAAGCCGGGATCGAACTCATGTGGAAGTGGCTTAAGCTTCTTTGTGCTGTGCTTTAACCTGCTGTGCCACCAGGGAGCGCTCGACATTTTATATGTTACATGTTTATCATGGCGTTCTAAGATACTTTGCAAACAGTAGCTATAATTAATATGGTTAGCCAATTATTATAAAAAGCCTTAAGGTATTTGTGTGATGAAAAGAGTTGTAAAAAGCCTTAAGGTACTTGTGTGATGAAAAGTATATTCATAATATGTAAGAACTTTAATAGATAGTTTGCCCAGAGACAGAACTCAAGACACAGTAAGTTTCCTAATGAAACACTCAAAGTTGCCCTTTCCCTTGAGTGTAAATGCCCAAACAGCGTTGGTCCAAAGTGGGTCGCTGAACTCCAAAGCTTCCCATGAGTCTAGGCACCTTCTGGCAGGGAACCATAGGAAAGGGCAGAAGGGGCTGGCAAGTCTGGAAGAAAAGAGCAAAATCAAAGTACAAGTCAAGATAAAGGCTTGCGTTGGAGCCTCCCCAGGCGATTCTCACCCATGTTCCTTTCAAGTGTCTTTACCTCTCTCCACTCCATGTGACTCCTTCCATGTCTCCCAAATGTCTAGTGCAAGTCTAAAGCTGAGAAGCGAGCAGGACATCTTCATATGTCTCTCTGCTCCATGTGTCTCCTTGAAGACATCTCTTCTCAGTATTCTTGTCCTCTCTAGCTTACCCTCACACTCGGCTCCACTCTTCATTATGGGGGCAAGGAACATGGAACCTCTCCTTTTTGTAGAGATCCCTCTCTGGAACAGTTGTTCTTGATTCATTAAGACCTAGAGTGTGGTTGAGAATTTGTGTTTACAGCAAGTTCCCAGATAGGGTGATGCATTTAGTCCTTGAATCAAACTTTGAGAACCATAGAGGTACGTAGAAGATAGTCTTTGTCTTTTGGGTATTCTTGGGAAAGGACGCTAAGGGTAAATCTATAGCCTAGGTGTGATTTGTTCACAATGGTATACTGCAGGTATTTATTAGATTTGTTTTCTTAATATATTTTCTACTTAGGTAATTGCTTTAACTTTAGACCTCAGTGATCGACTCCTGTATTGGTTGGTTCAGGATAGTCAGTGCATTCATCTGTACACAGCAGTTCTCCGAGGGCAAAGGTAAGTAATCTTCCCTGAAGCTAGTTGGTTGGGAATAAGGAATGCCTTGATTTTCAGTTACAAATTGGTTGGGAATAAGGAATGCCTTGATTTTCAGTTACAAATGACTTTGCATGAAAGTTTATTTATTCTTTCAATAAATATATATTAATTATCCATTTTGTGGCATGTGTTGTACTTGTGAGGAAAGATAAATTTGTGAGCAACTCATTATAGTCAAATATAGTAAATATTGTGATGAAGTATAGAAAGAGTACAGTGGGAAATCTGATAAGAATACTTAGTGGTGGTGGGTACACTGTAATGGGAGTATTCTATTACCTAATTAAAAATGAATAAATACATAATTGAAATAAAACATGCTTCTCAAGAGATGAGGAAGAGGATAGAGGATATTTCTGTTTCTTAAGAAGGTGGAGTGTACATTATGGAGGCAAGGCAGAAATCATCCTACAAGTCACAAATGAAAACTGGAGAGTAAAAATGACCACATGAATTATCTTCTGGAACTCTAGCTTCAAACTAAACCTCCTGTCCTTTTCTTGTTAGCAACTCCACACCTTTCATATTAGTGTTGTCAGATATTTTTTCCTATACAATTCTTTATACTTTTACATTTTAAATTAGGTGTAATATACATAATATGGAAAGTGTTGCAAGCTATTATATCAACTTGACAAATGCATTTGAAATATAGATATATCCATTGGCACAGAAATTTTCTGGTGTCCTTCCCAATCATCCCCACCCCCGACCTAAAATAATGTCCTTCTTGTGTTCTGCTAAAGCAAGTGATGTTAGAATTATGAAATAAGTTAAAGATTTAATATAATTACTCATGAATTAATGAGAACTCAGGTTGTGATTTAAGGTAAGGTATTAGCAAAAAACAAGTATCTCAGAGTGTGCGTAATGCTCTTGTTATTGCAATATCACATTGATAAGAAAAGCTCCTATAAAATTTGCTTTCAGCATATTTCAGAAAAATCTAAATAAGAAACATAATCAGGACTAAGAATCATAACAATTATTGTTGCAAAATATTTTCTCTTTGTTTTTATATACACAAGCTACACATTCACAGAGACATATTCTCTCCATCACTTGAACGTACCAGCTCTTTCTTCACTCCAAGTACACACTAACTGATGTCGTGTTTTAACAGTGCTGGTGATCCCATCATCACAGAATTTGCTGCCTGGAGTACTTCTGAAATTTCCCAGAATGCACTGATGTATTACAGTGGCCGGCTTTTCTGGATCAATGGCTTTAGGACTATCACAGCCCAAGAAATTGGTCAAAGAACTAGTGTCTCTATTTTGGAACCAGACAAATTTAGTCAGTTCACAATAATTCAGACATCCCTTAAACCTCTACCAGGTACACTATCTTATGCCTACATGCTCTTTCCCCTGCCACCTTGTACTTTCTATTAAATAAATGCTTGCATTGGCATTTTTCCCTAAAGAATTATGTTAAAGACAAAGTCTTTAGCAGTTTCTTTTGTTTTGCTTATGGTCATCTTAAGCTTAACTCAAACTTATAGCCTGAAATAATCAAAAAAAAAGATTTTCAGGATATATTAAAGGAGAGGAAAATTTAATTTGACTCCTGATTATTAGTTGTTTCTATTAATTTTTCATAATTATTAATAATACTAAATTCTCCCTCTATTCACGTTTCTTTCATCTCATAGGAAACTTTTCCTCTACCCCTAAAGTAATCCCAGAGTCTGTTCAAGAGTCTTCGTTTAGGATTGAAGGAAATGCTTCGCGTTTTCAAATCCTATGGAATGCTCCCCCGGCAGTAGATTGGGGTGCAATTTTCTACAGTGTGGAACTTAGTGCTCATTCTAAGGTATGGCACTGGCTCTTGTAACTTGCATTTCTAAAACAGGCTATATTATTTGCACGAGCCATGCACCCATGACTTGACCTTTCTTCCCAAGCCAAACCCATCTCCTTTGTTGTTCCTCTAGCATGTGGTTGTTGAGATTATTCCTGAGGCTCTTATCTACTGCTGGACTGGGGTGATCTTATGGTAACTGTTAGCAACTGCTGTGTTAGATACATTTTTTTAAAAAAAGATTTATTTATTTATGTATACAGAGCCTGGATACAAGCCAGAGGTGCAGGGGTGGTGAGAGGATTCATCAGAGACAGAGTGGAGAGCAGAACAGGCAGATCTATGAAGTACACTGCTGAGGGGAGCATGGGTGGGTCAGGAGAGGACTACCGCGCCATATGGATCACCTCTGGGGGCCCAGGATTGATCTCGCACTGAAACGGCTGTGGCTAGCTTGCAGTGCTGTATCCTAACCCATGGTGCCACCAGGGAGGGCCATGTGTTAGATACATTTTAACCGGCTTTTGTGGTACAAAGCCTAACAACATTTGAAAATTCGAGTTTTGACTTTACATGTCAAATGTTTGGTGATTTTAGTTATGCATAAATGATTTTATGATTCTCTCCCTAAGACAATGTTTTGTGTTTCTATTTTAGTTCCTGGCGAGTGAACACCAGTCTTTACCTGTATTTACTGTGGAGGGACTGGAGCCCAATGCCTCTTTTAATCTTTCTGTCACTCCTTATACCTACTGGGGAAAAGGCCCCAAAACATCTTTATCACTTCAAGCACCTGAAACAGGTACAGGGAATAAAATTTCTTTTAAAAAATCTTGCGTTCCATCCTTTTAGAATGGAGAGCTAATATTTTTTTAAACCTTTCAGTTTTATAGATGTGTCTGTATTCAATATCCTTTCAATAACTTTTGGAAGATTAAAATAGCCTCATTAAAATAAATTTACATAATTTATTCCAAAAGAATAGTTGAAAGATGTCTTCAAGACAGGTTCACTTGATTGTTATGAAATATAAGATGTGAAAAGATGTTTCAGGTAATTTTTGAAATGCTTCATAAAGAAAATGGCTATTTAAGAACAAAGATCGTTTCTTAGAAGGCTGACTTACTGGAAAATGTTTTTACAGAGGCTAGGTCACAGTCTTCCATAGTTAATTGATGTTTAAATTTAATTTCTGTCTTTGGAATATAATTATTTCTAAAAGGATGCTAGTGATGTCTTTACATGTGTATATTAAAGTGCACAAAGCCCATTCATATGTATCATTCCTTTATTAAACATTTATTAATTCCTGTCATGTGTCAGAAACATCATTTCATACTTCATTTAGTCTTCATGCAGAGCTGAGGTAGATAGGACAGTGTGCAATAAGAAAACAGACCAGTAGATGCCCAATATCAGATAATTAGTAAGTGACAGTACTGAGACTCAACCCAGACTTTTCACTAGCTTCGTCAAATCTTCAGTCATTTTGAAAATGTTGGCAAATAATACTATTACTGATTTTATTTATATAAACTTCCTGGCATCAGATGTGGAAGGGAGTAAGAGCTATTGTCTCTTTTTTACCATTAAGATTCTTTCAACAATATTTGTCCATGAGTCTCATAACAGGAACATAGTGGAGCTGGGGCAGGTTCTGGAGCAGTTAGCATGTGGATCCAGGTATGCTGTCTTTGAGAATGTCTTGGGATGTCAACTCTGGTTGAATTCTTCCATGGAAATGGCTGCATCCTTCAGAGACTGCTTTAAGCTCATCAGCTCTCTGCTGGATGTTGGGGGTAATAAGGAACAACGATAAGATTTGATCTCTGTCCTCAGGATATTTATAATATAGTCAGAAAATTCAAATTTACAAATATTAAACACTTATTGTATGCCAGTAATACAAAATTTGAGTGTAGATTCCACAAGGATTATGAAAAGGTGCTTTCTATTTTTTTTTATCAGTAGTCAGATAAACATATATGCTGCTCATAACAGAAATAAGATAGTGATGACTGAGTAGGATAGCATGGAGCGAACAGGCACAACCATGAAACTTCACCTAGATCAAGTTATCACAGGGCTCTCCTCAAAGGTGATACACAGGGGTTGGTATGGCCATGGAAGGCCTTTGAGGAATGGAAACTTGAGCTGGGCCCTGAAGCATGAAGCAAAAGAGATCAATGTGAGAACAATATAAGGAGATAATGAGGTCGGATAACAATGTCAGTGTTGAACATAAAGAAGCAGTACTATAGAAATGGTGGTCTGGGGGAGGAGCCCTGAGGAAGAACAGAGGCATGTAGGATGGAGGTTCTTGGAAATTGGGCAAAGAAATTTCTCTTTGCTTGGTTTGGCCTTAGAAAAAAATGGGCCCCCAAGCATATTCTTGGGGTAATTTATTTTTCCTGAGCAGATGTTTGAGGTGAGACGGGCTGTATTTTACATCCTCAACATTACTTCCTACCCGTTTTGGATGGAGTCACCACCTTCCTTCCTGGTTGTTGTCATTTCCACCTCTAGATAAGTCATTGTCAGGATGAGAGCAAACACTGCATTTTATGAGGAGAATCAGTTACCTTTGGACTGTACAGGGCAAAGAGAAGAAAGATGTGTCTAAGTGATAGTAAAAAGGGTTGGGATTGGAGGTAAGGAAGATTTGCTGAATTATCAGTCTAATTCCCTTAAGAAATCTATCAAATCTTCTCTCCTGAAGATCTTGAAGAATGAGATAGACACATCTCCACTGTCCAGAATGATAAAACCGATTACAAACTTATTCTACACCCTCATTGGGAGTAGTAATATCAACCTTACCTTTTCTGTGTTATTTGCGTCTCTGATTTTCAGTTCCATCGGCACCAGAGAATCCCAGAATCTTTATATTACCTAGTGGGAAAGATAGCAACAAGAAGGAAGTTGTGGTCAAATTTAGATGGAACAAACCTAAGCATGAAAATGGAGTGTTATCAAGATTTGAGATTTTCTATCACATTTCCAACCAAAGTGAAACAAACAACACATTAGACTGGATTGCTGTCAGTGGCCCTCCCTCAGTGATGTCTTTTCAACTAGAGGGCATGAGCCCTGGGTACTCTGTCGCCTTTCAGGTATGAGAGTGAAAACAGGGGTAAGAGGTTTTACTAGGGTGAGTAGAAGGTTAACGAAGGGTGGGATTTTGCTGGCTACCAGTAATTCAGTTATACTGGGATCACAGAGGCCAACTGGGCAGCAGTGCAATGGAGGGAGAAGAGACAACGAAAGTAAAGGACATCTTGACAGCTTTCTTGTATTAAGGGTCCTTTCAGATTGAACGTAAACCATTACTTTTCAGCATCATAAAGTATAGGCCATGTACAAAGCAGGTACTCTTACAGTCATTATTTCATTTGATCCTCCTACTGTCTGATGACAAAGACACACCCCTGGATGTATCAGTCAGTTTTGAAAGTGGCATGGACGTGATGTGGTGAAGCCCGACGTCTAAGGTCCTTCTCACCTTACCACATTATTACCATGAATCATCTGTATGCCCCCGCTTGGGGCTGCCTATGCAAATAAAAACTGATGTCTGTATAAGTGATGCCTCCAGTTGTTACCTGGTTGCTAATTGAAGAGGAAATCAGAGAATCAATGAAGGGGAGAAAAACAACAGACCAAGTGTCCATTCATGGATCAATGAAGAATGGCCTATTATTGAATTACAAAATGAATGAAATCTTGTCACTAGAAAAATATGAGTGGACTATGAGGTGATTATGTTAAGTGAAATAAGTCAGACCAAAAATAAAAACCTCAGTTATGCATACAGAGAGCAGATTTGTGGCTGCTAGAAGTAGGCATAGGGTAAGATGAAATGAGTGAAGATAAAATATATAGAATGCCAATGATAAAATAGTTTGCTGTGGGGATTTATTGTACAGTGTCTGCAGTTGCTACTATATTGTGTATTTGAAAGTTGCTAAGAAAGTAGACCTTACAGGTTTTCATCACAAGAAAAAAATTATAACTATGTATGGTGGTGGGTGGTAACTAGACTTAATGTGATGATCATTTTGCAGTACAAATAATTTGTGCTGATACCTAAAATTAATATGTTTCCGTTATATATCAATTTTTTTAAAAAGCATAGCCATGCAGCTTTAATAATTTAGTAATTGACTAAATTATTATTGGGTGTGTCTTTACCATCAAACAGTAGGAGCATGGAATGACATAATGAAAATAAAAGTACCTGCCTGGTACATGGTCTGTCGTTGAGAGAATGAGCTGTCACCCCATCCTAACATTTTTAGATTTTAAAATTCATATAAAATAGTTTTTCATTTCTGATAAATCTCTTGACAACTTTGATCACTTCATTTATTCTCAGAATGGTGAAAATCTTGTACGTATAGAGAGCTATTTACCATTTTTGGGAAAACATGGTGTTTTAGAGATTTGAGTTTCCAAAGGGATTTTTTTTTCTATTTGTAAATTTTAACTTGATAATAATTCCCATACTTTGTTAGGTCTACCTATACAAATAAAGATAGCTATAAATTAAAACTTAAGAATTGAACACTTTTATATATTCATTATTCTATACTTTTATTTCTTAAGCAATGTTAACTAAAAAAGTAGACTGGATTGTGAAAAGTACGTATGGTGGCATAACTGAAATGATCAGCAAACACACTTATTTGATAAGAGTTATCTGTGTCTCTATGAATATATTGTTTAAATTGCAGCCACCACAGAACAATGTAAAGCAAGATGCATGAGTTTGCATGAATTTCATTTACATACAAAGAGAAGTCTGCTTGATAGGCATATATATATAATATTAATACTATATACTAGACATGTATGTATATATTATGCCTATATCAGATGTATATTTTATGAACATATACCTCATATGTATATAATATAGGGATAGTAATATACAGAATATAGAACAGAATAATTAATGTTATACATAATACAATAATATAACTTTGTAATTATACTTGTAAAGCAAAATACATGGGTTTGCATGAATTTCATTTACATACAAAGAGAAGTACATATAAGGGTTTATAATGCACCATTTGGGGCCTCCCTGTTGGCACAAAGGGTTAAGTCTCAGCACTATGAAGCTAACCATAGCCACTGCCTGGGAGTTTGATCCCCACCCCTGGGCAGGAAATTAATTCACATGGCACAGCACACCTCTCCTGTCCCATCTACTGCTCCCCTCAGCAGTGTACTTCAATCAGCTTATTCTGTTCCCCACTTTTTCTCTAGTGAATCCTCTCACCCTACCTGGCCCCCCACACTACCCTGAAACCCAGCTCTTGCATGCATGAATAAATCTTTAAAAAAACAAAATGCATCATTTATTTCCATATAGTTCTATGGTGACTGCAATTTAAACAATATATTCATAGAGACACAGATAACTATTAACAGATAAGAATTTGTTATTATAATTGCTGATCATTTCAGATATACCACCATATGTACTTTTCACAATCCAGTGTATTTTTTTTTTAAAGATTTATTTATTTATGTATATAGACGGGTACAGGAGAGAGGTGCAGGGGCGGCGAGAGGCTTCACCAGAGACAGAGTGGGGAGCAGAACAGGCAGATCGATGAAGTACACTGCTGAGGGGAGCAGCGGGCAGGTCAGGAGAGGTCTGCCACGCCATGTGGTCACCTCTGGGGCAGGCGGGAATCGAACTCATGCGGAAGCGGCTTTAGCTTCTCGGTGTTGTGCTTTAACCCGCTGCGCCACCAGGGAGGGCCAATCCAGTGTATTTTTTAGTTAATATTACCTTAAGAAATAAAACTATAGAATAATGAAAATATTCTTGTTAAAAAGTACAGTAAGTTTAGTTACTTGAAGCTTCTAGTTCTTGATCTCAAGATAAGTGGATATTAAACCATAATCCATATAGCAGTTTTCTTCTGTTAAATCTTCTCTGTAACATAATTTTGGAAATAACTGAAGGCTTTTTAGAAATTTAATTTTTTTTGCATAAAATTTAAATTTTTTATGCTATTTCTTTGTACTTTTTATACAACCCCTTTATCATGAATATGAGGCAATATTTTTCCTATGTGTTTTATTGCTGTGCACTTCAGTGTAAATGATCTTTAACTCTTAATAATGTATATCAGAAATGTGAAGCACAATTCACAATGATTCATTACTTTTAGAGCTTAATTATGGTCACCGAGTATATTATTGTATGCAATTTTTGTTTTGTTTTCTTTCTTTAGGTTAGAGTTTTCACATCCAAAGGGCCAGGACCATTTTCTGACATAGCAAAAGCCAGAACATCAGGTATTTATTCTCTAGTATTGGTGAAAATAGCAACTAGTGTCTTAAAAACATTTGATGCTTGGTATTCTTAGGGATGCGAGTGCTGTGTTTAAACTAAACTTAAAATTCAATAAATTAATCACTTCTTATCATTAAAAAACATGCTAGACACACCTGGGTTTACGATACCCACAGTCTCAGTTGTGACTGATATAATGCATGAACCTGGGAGATGAATCAAAGATCTAAAAAAATGGCCTGATACTGAATCCAAGGAATTTTGCTGAACTAGTTATTTTTTTCATACATATTAACACCTTTTTTTTTTTTAAAGAACAAGAACTGGGGTATAGACCAGAGGTGTGTGTGCGTGGGGGCGGGGGATGGGTAGAAGATCCAGTGAAGAACACTGCTGGAAGATCGAGTGAAGAACACTGCTGAGGGGAGCAGTGGGCTGGTCAGGAGAGATCTGCCATGCCATGTGGTCACCTCCTGGGCTGGGACTCGAACTTGCATTGCAGTTCTGCCAACAGCTTCGTAGCATTGTGTTTTAACCTGCTGCAACACCAGGGAGGGTTAATTCCTTGTTTTTCATTTATAGATATCAATCCATTTCCATACCTCATAGCTCTTTCTAGCAACATGATAGTTCTGTTAGATATGGATCAAAACCAAACTGTGTGGACATTCTCAGCAGAAAGGGAAATCAGTGCCATTGGTTACACAGCTGATAATGCAATGGGGTACTACACTCAAGGATACTCACTCTACATGCTGAACATGCACAATCAATCCAGCTCTGAGGTACTGTGCTATATAATTCTTTTGAAAGGAAGTAAGTGGAATATTTGTGTCTCCTATTAACCTGTAATTAAACTGACTGGTCAGTGGTTGAGCCCTTAAGATTAGAATGGTTGAAAAAAGGACAGATATTGTATAATAAATTCATTTATTCGCATAAATAAATTCATATTTGGTTGCAAATGTCATTCATGATTAGCTTCATCAACAGCTATTGACTTTGATGCACTCTGTTAGATCTAAGAATAGAGATTTAAAAAAATCAACTAGTATTAGTCTAGCACTAATAAGACAGTATTGCATAATTTTTAAGTTTATGACCTTTGGTGTCTGACAACCTAGTATATAATTCTAGCTCAACCACTTACTAGTTCTGTGAACTTTAGCAAGTTATTTAATCATGATGTTTATAGAGTACCTTATATCTTGTGAAGACACATGGTATAATCCACCTGAAGCACTTAACATAGTGCTTGGCATGTAGAAGACATTCACTGAATGTTACCTACTAGAGAAGACAGAAGACAGATTAAGTGTTATTCTCAGGGCATGAAATAATGGAATTGAAGAATGGATGCCCAATTTGGGCTGGAATGGTGATTGGTGATAGGGTGGAAAGATATCTTAGGTACAAAGTAGATGAGCCAGGTGAAGGTGGGATAAGCTGAGGGAGTAGGAGGAGCAAGCGAAGGGAAATACATGGTAATGGTGTTTTAGGAACACCTGTTAGCAGTGTGAGTAATGACTAGGGAAGGTTACGTCTGGGACAGTTAAACAGGTATCACACAAATCTAGACAGGAAAGGAGAGGCAGTGATTTCAGGCAAGAGAGTGAACTGGGTAGATGTTTTAAGCGGGACTAGTTGATAGTATTAAAGAAGTCAAGGACACCCCATATTTGTCAGGATTGCTCCTTGGATAAGTATGGAAAGCCAAAAAATATCAAGTACAGACTAACAAAGGGTTTTGGAGGTGGAGTGGTGAATTTTATTTTCTAGGGTCATTCATAGGGAAGCGTTCAATAGGCATTTTCTACTTGAATCAGGAACTTGCCCAAAAATAAGGATTTGTGGCATTGGTCTATCAATTATAGATGAGGCAATGACAGTTAATAATAACTCTCATAATAATCCTCATTGCCAACATGAGAAGAGCACCACTATTATGATATTTGCCAATCCAAAGTTATTGAGGTCTTGGAGTATAAAAGAAAAGTACAGTAAATAAGTAATATGAGTGATTTAGAAAAGTCCTGAAACTTGAAAAAAAAAAGTCACTATCTTCTTTGCTGTGTTTTCTACCTATTGTTAAGATTTTCCGAGATGCACTAGTTTTTGATATCACTGTTATTACAATTGACTGGATTTCAAGGCACCTCTACTTTGTAATGAAAGAATCACATAATGGAATGCAGATATTTGACATTGATCTTGAACAAAAGGTGAAGTACCCCAGGAAGCTAAAATTTTGCAACAGAAATTCAACAATAATCTCTTTTTTTGTATATCCCTTTTTAAGGTATGTGAAATGCATTTTTTGTAATAAAATGGATAAATTCAATGTAATGTGGTGTCTTTGGCTCCATATTAGCAGTCAAAGATGAGAAAATAAAGCACTCAGTCTTCTTGGCTCACCATATTCACTAAAAGTAAAAAATTCCACATACACTTTATGAGCCCACACTCCAAATATATAAACCTAACCCATGTTGACAATTCAACTAAGCTCAAGTTAGGCTAATTACCACCAGGCAACCAAAGCAGATTTTTATATTGTTAAATTTAATAATATCACCAATTGGTGAGTTCAAGAGGAAAAATGAGGGAGTGGCAGATGATGAACAGAAGATAGATGGGTAGCTTGTCTGGCACAGCAAAAGGCATTCTGGGCTCATCCATCTTAGTTTAATAAATGTCTCATGAATTCTAAGGCCTCCATTTAGCAGCCGAGTAGCACTTTCTCCGAATGGAAAGATCTATTTTGTGCTAGAAGGACGGTTGGTTAGAATCTGGTTTGGAACGAGATTGTTAAATAGTATGAGAAGCAGAAATAAACTTGAGTGAGAGGTGAGGATTGGAGATGGGTGTTGGTGAAAAATGGGCAAATATATTTCATATTCACAACCTTCATGAGCCAATTAATACAGTACCTCAGGTTACAATGGTCCAAGCATTTAGTTTTGAACACATTTACATTTCTATTTAACAGTTTCAAAATGAAATTTATTTACTTTTTTTCTAAAAATATGTCTACCATATATCATAATTTTACCCAAAAGATTGACTTCACCAAAAGCAAGCAAGCAAACAAAGAAACAAGAAACCCAGGATGTTCGGAAATACAGATTTCATTACAAACTAGGATGTTTTTATGGCTAGAACACTTAGGGAATTAGATGTCCCAGACTTTTGATTTGAGAAGAACAGTCTGTTTGATTGTGTGTGTTACAGTGTAATTATATTACTTTGAGATTTTCAGAGCACCAACTGCATAAATACATTTATTGAGAAGACATTGAAAAATGCTACAAACTAGACTTCTTTTGACTTCCTCCACCTTAAGAAGGTTTTGAAAGTAAATGTTGGGATGAGTTCTCTCCAAGAATAACTTTGTCCCTTCATTAAAAACTAGTCTTTGCAATGATACCTATTTCCCACTAAGTTAGAAGTTTTTTGCTTTTTCCTTATAGTCGCCTGTATTGGACAGAAGTTTCCAGTGTTGGCTCTCAGATGTTCTACTACAGTATTATCAACCAGACCTTGCACCGTATCCTACAACACACAACTGAAAACCTCCCAGATGGAAGTAACCAATGTACTTGCAGTGTGAGTGATTTTGAGTTAAATGGAGTGATGACTATTGATACTTCTGACCTAAAGAAGCCACAGATATATTTTGTCAAAGAACAAGAGATATGGACCATGGATCTGGAAGGATGTCAGTGTCAACGGGTTATCATTTTGCCTGCTTTGCATGGTAAGAGACGTATGTGTGCCCGTAGATCTTTATTAGTAATCATGGCTCCCTCTTGTCCTCTTGAAAAAATGCTTACACTCTTCATCTACTCAAAAGAATATACACATGATATTTTTTGCTCTGGACCATGCCAAATGTCCTTGAAGAATTCAAGTTGTTGTTAGGTAACTTGTTCAAAAAGTTGTAATCATTTAGTGGAGGACTCAGATTTATAGCTACATCCATGACTTTACTACCAGTCCCCTACTTGACTTCCATTTGATGATCTCTGTGAGTCTACATTCAGCCTAAGATGCTCAGTACTTGATAGGTTTATCTGTTGAAATTTACATTCTTGTGGGGTAAATATTTGACAAGTTATAGCATGTTGGAATTCTCCTAAACTAGGCATAATTGCACCAATAAAAAATATACTCTAAATACCCTCATTGTCCAATATGGTAGCTGCTAGTCCCATGTAGTGACTTAAGTTTAAATTAATTAAGATTAAAAATTAATTTCATAGCCACACTAGTCATACTTTAAGTGCTCAAAAGCTACTTAAATGGTTGATATATACTGTACTGGGAGACATAGGTACAGAATATTTCCATCATTAAAAGTGCTTTTGGGCTTTGCGGTCTATACAGTGAAGTTTTGAAATTGCAAATATACACACATGAATGTATGTATGTGTAATAACTGCACATATGTAACCGAGAGTCTTTTAGAAATAATTTCAATATAATCAATAGCTTTAAGTACAGAAAATGTTTTGAACTTCTCTTACTAGGAAAAATACTTATTTCTGTTCAATCTATAACAAAGACTATTTCTCTGATCGGATTCTATGAGGCTCTTCTGAGTCCTCTCCTCAACTAGGTCCCTGTCTTGGACTTCAGTATCCAACCTTACTGAATCCAGTTTTAATAAGAATCCCACTAGCATTGTTTGGAGACAATCCTCCACTGTTGGTATATGATCACTCTCTTCATTCTCTACCCTTGACATATTTGGCTTTCGCAAGAATCCTATTGGGCCAGTTTAACCGCAATCTCCTCTACCTTTGAAGTCTCCTCTTCATCATTTTCTACAAACAGACATCCTCATACTGCTTATTGACTCTATATCCCCAGCTGGTGTTGTTGTGTCTAGAATTGAATGTATCACTCTTTCTTATTGCAATATTTCAATAGTCTTGACTAAAGTCTTCCTTACCACTTAAGCAAGTGTTTTGAATAATTTTCCTTTAACATTTGATACACAAGAATGATCTCAGTGGCCATTATTTTATATAGAACTGGCTAGTCTTTCACTAGTCACTAAAATTAGAAATTTAAAATTACTTTAGAGATAACTTAGAAGAAATTTCTATAAAATAGCCTTGCCTGGGATATCATTTATTTAAAAAAAAAATACATTATAAGGAGATCTGTTTGACAATTCTGACTATGAAATAAAACAAAATAAAATAAAATACCAGAGTCTTCTCCCCATCCCACCATACATTGGTCTGAGTTGTAACTTCTAAATTTGCCAAGAATTAAAAATGTCTACATGGGAACTGCTCCACAGTATAGGAATTGTCCTTTACAGCCCATGCTAGGCATTTCCTTTAGAGGAAAAATTCCAGTATTTGTAACTGTTCCTCAAGCTTCTAGATCTTTCTTTGTCCAGACATTCATCCCCTCTGTGATTTCCCAACAGCTGCTTAGCATCCTCCTGAATGTTGCCACTGTAATTGGCTTCCCTACATTCTCAAGGTGTTCTGGTCCCAGCAGTGGGCCTATGATATCTTAGGTCTTCTTTTAATGCAGCCATCTGGTTTCAGGGCTTTGGCTGCCTGTCATTTCCAAAAATCCATTTCCAAAAATCCATAGTCTTATTTTAATTGTAAACAAATCAGCTGTCTTTCATATGTTAATTTAGAATAAACCTTATATTTGAATTTAGGATGTTCTATTTATTTCTATATAATTTAATATACCATTTCATGATGGTATAGTGATTTTTGAATTTTAAATCTATAATTAAACATCCTACTGATAGTAAAAATTGTGTATTATCTGCAGATTTGATAGATTATGTTTACTATTATACCAAATCATTTATAACATTATTGAGCAAGAAGCTGAGTCCAGAGCATGACCTCTAATGACTCCCTTTGTTACAAGGCAACCCCAGTGTGAAATGGTTTGAAGTGAGTGTGGGTTCTCACCTGTGTGCTGATAAATAAAATGAGACTCAGCTGCACACACACACAAAGTTAATAAAGGGTTGCTTTATAAAAAGGAGAACTGAAGTGAGCAATAACGCAGGGAGAAAGAGATAAATTGGTGAATGCATCCTACCAGTTCTGCTGAGCTGGGACCTAAATTGCACGCTGAAGACCTGTGAAAAACCAAGCAGCCTCAAGGCCCACATATCTGGTTATAGCCCAAGCCTTGCTGCTTAACTCCACCCTCACTTCCCAGCATCCTCCCTTCGGTGGTGATGGCATTGTGGGATTTGTAGTCCTTGGTGCATGGATCTCTTTGGTGGGGTGGGGGGTGGAGTCCATAAAAACTGTGTTTGTAGAGTTTTTTCAAGATATCCTCTCCCCCCAGCACCTATAGACATTTGACTTAAATCACACAGGTTACTTGCAAATTCTAACTTTGTTCTTTATGAACTCTGTGGCCTTGAGAAAACCGTTTAACTCCTCCAGCCTCAGTTTCCACTTTTACAAAATAAATAGTAGTGCTGTCATTACAGTGAGGTGTGGGTGGGATTCGGTGAGCTGGTTCCTTGGGTTTCTTCTGAGGAAATTTTCACCAGTGTTCCCCTTTCAACAGCACACAGCAAGTTTCTCCACGAAGCAGGGATGTTTAGTTATATACAAAGGGTAAGTTTATTATAAAAAGGCAAGGGAAGTAAAGGATGTTTGCACAGATATGAGAGAGCAGGAATAGTTATGGCTGCTTTGCAAAAGTAAAAGATTTGTGAAAAGAAAAACCTGCATAACGGGTGAATTGGTAGTGGGGATTACAACTGAGATGGGAAAATGCACAAAATGAAGAATGATGCAAAAAAAAGAAAAGAAAAGAAAAATACCTGCATAGCCACAGGGCTGCAACAGAGCTGCCTGGGCCGAGCAAGAGGTTGCGCGATACTGTGCTCTTCTATTTGGGAGGGGCTCATCCCTTTGGTACTTGCTATCTATTGTTAAATTAATTACTTCTAGGGTGTGACTGGGTCGATTTGCCACAGTGATCCTTAATCTCCATAGCCCCACCTCTGGCCTGCCCCTCTGGTGGTTTCTATAGAAGTCTGAGGAGCTATAGCAGTTGGGGTCTAAAGGTTTTCATTTCTATAGCAGCTTGTAAAATATGTTCACCATTTCTCCCCTCCCCTCCAGTTTTTGTGTTGTGACCCCTCTATCCTAAATTTTTTCTTAGCTGCCATTAGTAGGAATTATCTTATTTGCTTGATAAGGAAGTAAAACAAATTATCTGTAAGATCCTACTTACATGACACAAAAATGTTATTTTTTTATGTTGAAATAATAGATTTAAAATTTGGAGTTTTAATATAATAAAAAGACTTTATGTGTTGCTCAGAGTAGTAAACATAAGATACATATTTTATTCTTTATGGTTTTTGCTTTATGTCAACAGGAAAAACACTTGTGAGACTAACTGTGGATGGAAAATTTCTATATTGGATTGTCACAGCAGAGGACAGCACACAGATTTATCAAGCAAAGAAAAGCAATGGGGCCACCTTCTCCCAGGTGAACACCCTAAGGAATAAGTGTATATTGGCTTACAGTTCAGTTCTGCAACCTTTCCCAGGTAATGTCATGTCCTAAATCATCTCATTCTCTAGATTATGGTTAGGAAATTCTCATGTGCCCTTTTTGAGGGTCCTTCTTCCAAGTTCTTCCTTGTGCTTTCGGTGCTGCTCCAAGATTTGGTGCCCAGGGTGACTGCTGTTTGCTCTGGTCAGTTCTCTCTGCCGGCTGGATTCATGCGCTGCTCAGCTGGGGTCCTTCCCTAGCACTTACTCTGCCTGTCCTCTCTTCTCAGTGCAATAATTCCCCTTCTTTTTGTCTTCTTTTTTCTTCTCTGAGGATATCTTATACCTCCCAGTGGTGTCAAAAAGCATTGCTCAAAACTTCAGGTCATTTTTTAAGGTAAAGCATCCTATTTAATTGTACTGTTATGTATGTCAATAATTTAACATGTGCACAGTTATGCTTTAATACATTTTTAAAAGATTTATTTACTTGTGCATACAGAACTATGTTACAGGCCAGAGGTACGGGAGCAGTGAGAGGGTTCATCAGAGACAGAGTGGGGAGCAGAACAGGCAGCTGGACAAAGTACACTGCTGAGGGGAGCAGCAGGAGAGACAGTAGTCTGCTGTGCCATGTGGATCACCTCAGCGGCTGGGATCAAACTTGCACTGAAGCAGCTTTGGCTTGTTTGCAGTGCTTAGCTTTAACCTGCTGTGACACCAGGGTGGGCTCCAAGTTACATTTTCTCTGACCTGTCATTCATGAGGTTTGTAGTGCTCTGTTCTCAACCCGAATGACCACACAAAGTGGGTGGATTACTGTGCGATCTGTATAAAGTAGTGTCTTTAGGAATACATGTTGTCACGCTATGGCAGAACTGATGACACGTATTCTACCGACAAGTATAATAAAGTTGGAAATCCAAAAATCAACCAGCACTCTCCCCTCCAAGTACAACATTACATAACTTCATGTGACATTCAGATAAAAAGTGGTCTTTAGGTCTTTTCCCAAATTTCTCGCTACTACAGTGCAATAGAATGTGAAATTAAATATAATCTCCTCCCCCAAGATAGGAAAACTGGAACGTACTTCTTTTGCTTAGATGTATTCAGTTATAAAATATGTTATACATGAACAAGTGAAAGACTATAGAAATAAGTTGAGTGTATATTTTGATAGAATAACTCATTTTCTACTTTGGGAATTTAAGAGGTTAGAAAAGTCCATGCAATATCTGCAGCTGAACACATACACACACGCACACACACACACACACACACACACCTCTCTAAAAGTGTAAGTCCTAAAGGTGCATGAGTTTTCCTAATTGGAATTCTTTTAAAGTATGACCGACGCTAAAATATGACCGACGCTGTCATTACTGATTCAGAATAAAAGCATCAACTACATTTTGTCTAAGTACATTGTTAAGGATACTTTAGCGCCATCTATTGGAAATCTTATGCAATTTCAAGTGACTGAGCTCTTTGAGGCATTTAAATCTTCAAAAATGTATGGGAATAAAAAGTGTTCCTGTCCTAAATAACATTTCCAGCACATCAATATATCATACCACATCAGTTAAATAAAAAAGCCATATTATCCTCTATGTTAAATAAAACTGCTGTTATCTTATGGATGTACATCTTTTAATTTTTTTCTTTTATTATTTTAGATAAAGCATTTCTGTCTCTAGCTTCAGATATTGCAGAGTCAACTATTCTTAACATTACTAATACCAGCCTTACCATCCAGTTACCACCCACCAGGACAAACCAGAGGTGGTATGGTATCATCAGCCCTACGCCAACATACCTGGTTTACTACAAAGAAGTTAATGTCAGGATGAACAGCTCTAAACTGAAATATGAAATGCTGGTAAGACTGAAGCTACTGGTTTTACCTTTTGGTTGATACAAAAGTCTCAGCCACAGTAAAATATTTTTTATATTATGTTCTGAAATGTGCTATTATGCAAGCTTTAACTGATGATTCATCACCCACATTGTGTTCATGTCTTCTTGTCTGGGAGTAAGTTAAGTTTGAGAAAAGTATATGAATTCTGATCAGTTGGTGAATTTCCATGGTAATGGTTTCCTGAGTGTCCTGAAAGAACTGAGTTTCTGCCTTCCCTAATTTTATAATTATCCCCAGAAAATGATACTGGTTTTCATGGCCTGTACAATGATTGCAGATTGAGGGGGAAGACATGAATCAGGCAGATAAAACATTACGTGTACACCTCCTCAAAAGTTACTGTTCAGCCTGGGGTAGCCCTCTCTATTGCAAAATGGGCTCGTATGCAGGACTATTATCTTGTGTTTGTTCATCACTGTATTCCTGACACATAAGAATTCATTAGATATTTCTTGGACAGCTAAATGAATTGACACAACTTATGCCATCATTGGCATTATATTACAGTTGTCCTTGTGATGGGAGCCTACATCTCTAATATTTTGCTTTGTGCTTATTATCTAGTCAAATCAAAGGTGAAATTGACTACCATCTATTGGACATTAAGTACAATATACTTTACCAGAAACTACACCTGATTATTGTTCCTTCATTTTCCTATTCTAATCTTTCGTGACACAGGTTTAAGTGGAATTGTTCCAGAGACTGAGGAGACCATTTTGTTAACCCAGATGGGGTCTGTGGCATTTGGATATTTTGTCATTAGTGCTTACCTTATTATCTTCACATTTATTAAGTCAAAGGCAGTAGTTCTCAACTTTGACTCTCAGTGAAGTTTTTTTTAAATTGAGGTACCATTGGTTTATAACACCACTTGTGAATATGAGGTACAGGTTCACATCTCTTCAGATGTGTGTTACACATGACACCCATCACCAAGGCACCCACAGTCCATGGAGCCTCTCCTCCCCTTTGTTTTCTACTTCCCCCCACTTCCTCAGCTTTACAGTCAGACTTCTAGGGTTTGGTCTGGTTTGGTTTGGTTTCTCTATATTCACAGATGTGTGAATCCAGTTCTGGGCCCAGGCTTCCTTTCAGATCAATTCAGCCAGAATCTCTGGGTTTTAAACTTGCCAGATGACTCCAAAGTATAAGTAAAGTTGAAAGCCATCCTTCTAAGGAAAGTCTTACTTTCCTAAACATTATTACTTTATTTCTAAGATTAGATAATTTAGCTTAATCTTTTGTATTCACTTTTGTGTCACAACCTTACAATATCATCTGGCTGAATTCCTAATGTAATGCTAACAAAAGAGTGTCCTCTCCTGGGAACTTAGCTTCCTATGTGAGCTGAATATGTCACAAAACTGACTGGGGGCTGCCAATCACCTGACTTTTTTTTTCCTGGAAGATATTAAACAACTCAGGTCTGTAAAGATTAGAGCTGTGAAGATTATCATTTATAATCCAAGATTGAAAATAAAATAAAAATAATTAAAAAAATAAATTTTTGGAATCTTTATTTTCATTTTTGATTAAATAATTTCTCCCCAAAATAATTTCTTATCTTGTATAAAATATAAGAACATATTTTGATTTTTTAAAAATTAATTACAGGAATTTCAGGAGCATATAGCCCTTATTGAAGGTTTACAACCATTTTCAACATATATGATACAGATAGCTGTAAAGAATTATTATTCAGATCCTTTGGAACAATTAACTCTGGGAAAAGAGATTTGGGGGAAAACTAAAAGTGGAGGTGAGTTTTGGGCTTGGTGTGGGTATGTAAAATGGAATCTTGTGATAAATGTGATATATATATGTCTATATCTGCTTCCCCCCCCAATTCTAAGTAATCTTTATTACATGAGTTTTTTAAAGCTTAGAAAGAAAAAAAAATTCTATAAAAGTATTCTGATGACCTGATCCTTGCTCTAATACCAGGAGAAGATGAATGTTATTCCATTTAAATGAAAAGTAACTATAAGTTTGACCAAGAAAAACATTCTCTGTCTCACCACTCAGTGTCACCCTCTTCCCATATATTTGTGGGTCTCTGTATATGTGATGAGACAGGAGACTCAAGCCTTCCTCTATGTGAGTTTTGCTTAGGCCACTGAAACTTAAACTGATATATAACATCATTGCTCTAAAGTGAAAATGGATCTAAAAATCTAAAAAGGTGTCTTACGAGGCATTGATTATTATGAGGTGATGCCATTATTTCACATGTCTCTGATGATATTCTCAAAACTCACCAGAATTGGGCTATTCATCTCATCAGCCATATCCTTGAGCTAGAATCAGAAAATGATTTAGTTATTAAGCAAATATAAACAAGAACATTTCTTTCTGTCAGACTGATAAGTAGTCATTATAGAATAGGCTGGCTTTTCTTCTGAACATCTGTCATCCATTCTACTCATAGGATAGGATGATTATTTCTTTACATTGTTCACTGCTGTTGTAACATCCCTTATAATGCTTTGTTTTATCTCAGTACCAGAGGCTGTTTGGTTCATTAACACAACTGTGAAGTCAGACACCAGCATTTTAATATCCTGGAAAGAATCTCCCAAGCCAAATGGACCTAAAGAGTCAATTCGCTATCAGGTGGCAGTCTTGCACCTCGCCCCAATGCCTGAGACTCCTTTAAGACAAAGTGAATATCCAAATGGAAAGCTTGCTCTCCTTATTTCTGGACTGTCTAGCGGAAAACTGTATGAGTTAAAGGTACAGTGACATATAGGACATGAGTATTATAATTCTCAAGAGCAAGTTCACTGAACAGTGAAGTGACTGTTCTTTTTCACAACAAGGTTCTGGCCTGCCATTCAGAGGAAATGTGGTGTGCTGAGAGTCGCCCTGTCACTGCTGAGACTTTTGAGGCACCAGAGAAACCGTATGCCTTGGTTCCAGAGAACACTACTGTGCAATTAGCCTGGAAGGCTCCACATAATGTTAATCTCACCAGATTTTGGTTTGAACTCCAAAAGGTAGAATTTTACAATATATTTTTTAATGCAAATCTACTTTATGATGTAAAATAAATTGAAGGGCCTTTTCATATCTTTAGAGCAATATCATATAAATCAACAATATATTTGATAACAGTGTAAATCAACAATATATTTGATAGCTATTTAGACTAATATCCAATTGAAAGAATTCCCAGAGAACTTTACTTGCTCGTAGTAAGTGTCATGTAAAATAGTATGAGTTATCATAGACTACTTTTTATAATATTTCACTTAGTTTAGATACCGATGACATGGTTCTCTTTTCTAAACTTTATAGAAATTTCATTGCAAAAAGCATAAGAAATGAACAAATCCCCGCCGCCCCAACCTTGATTAGAAATATTCTTTTCACCATTTGAGGGTTATTTAGTAACAGGAGAGAAGTAAAATATAAAACCAGCATATTGTAAGCTGTTTGGATTTTGACTTTAAACTTTAACTACTACCTCATTCAAAATTCTTCATGCTTTAAACATTATGAATTTACTTCAATATGAATTTAATATGAATTTAATTCACTGCTAGGGAAAGTCTACATTGATTTTTATATTAATGTTTTTAGTTTAGATTATTAAGTCTTTATAACTTCTATATTTCATTGTCACCATTACATATTCTTGTGCTTGAGTTTGTAAAAATTATTTGGAAGTATTTTGTTCAGTGGTAACATAAAAACAAATCAGTGCAGTCATATTATTTTTATTTGAAAATCAAGTTGCTCCCTAGGATGTCTTAAAATTTTACTATGTAAGACTTTTTAAAATGATCTTATACTTTTTAGATACATCCTATGAAATATATGATTATTGATTTGATAAAAACAAGGCAATTGTTTAACTGAACTTTTTCATTGAACATGTTCAGACACCAAAATGAATCATATATTACCAGCCAGGCAAAGGAGGACCTTTGGGGGATGACTAATCTCTACAACAGCATCAGTTTTTTTTTTTTTTTAAAGATTTTATTTTATTTGTGCATAAAGAACTGGGGTACAGGCCAGAGGCTCAGGGGCGGTGAGAGGCTTCACCAGAGACAGAGCGGGGAACAGAACAGGCAGATCGACAAAGTACACTGCTGAGGGGAGCAGCGGGTGGGTCAGGAGAGGTCTGCCACTCCATGTGGTCATCTCCGGGGCAGGCGGGAATCGAACTCATGAGGAAGCGGTTTTAGATTCTCAGGGCTGTGCTTTAACCCACTGCACCAACAGGGAGGGCCCAACAGCATCAGTTTTAATCCATCATTATCCTCCTGCTGTGAATTTACTTTCTTATACACTCTGATTTTATATAATAGGTGTCTACAATTAGAAATAACAGGAAGCCAAGCTTTGAATTTCCCCTGGTGATATAGAATCAGAGATATATGTGCCATTTTTAGTTTCCTCAGAACTAGCATTCAAGACAGTCATAGCATAAAATAATAAATGGAGATGGTGAAGGTGTTAGGGATCAAGCATTTGGGAAAAAATTCCTAGTTTTTATAGAAAGCAAAATTTAGGTTTAAATGGCTTGTCATAGGCTTATGGATTCCTATAGTTTTCCAAAAATGTTTCCTAACATTTCCTAAACAAAATGCTAATTGAGCGGTCTTTTCCTAGTGGAAGTACAATGAGTTTTACCATGTTAAAGCTTCGTGCACACAAGGTCCTGCTTATGTATGTAACATCACAGATCTGAAGCCTTATACTTCCTATAACATTCAAGTGGTTGTGGCTTATACCACAGGAGAAAATAGCACCTCACTTCCAGAAAGCTTTAGTACAAAAGGTGAGTACTAACTTTCAGAAAATCTGATGCTTTCTATATAAACTATTTTGCTAATCCTAGAGGTTGAAAGTTTTGTTTTTGTTTTTGTTTTTTTTTTTAAAGAGTATATTACTACTTTTAGAGTTTGAATGAAAGACACTGAAAAGACCAAGAGTACTTACAGGTAGTAGTGAGATAATACCAAGCTGGTCTTGGTGGATCCTGACCTGGGCAAAATTATTTCATTTTCAATCTTCTGATTTCCTATCTAGTTATATTTTACAGTGAGAATGAAATAAAAATAGTATTACTGAGTGTTCAATTAATATTTACTTACTACTCTGACCCAGATACTAAAAATAAAAAGTACATTAAAATAACTAGTATTATGAAAAGCATACAATAACTCCAAGTTGACTCCTGTAAGGAGAAATGCTATATAAACTTGCAGTAGGTCCAACATAAGCAAAAGAATGAATCTAGACCGCTACCTAGATCTGGACATAAGACCTAAAACAATAAAATACATAGAAGAACATATAGGTAAAACACTACAAGATACATATTTCAACAACATCTTTAAAGACTCATCACCTAAAGCAAACAAAGTGAAGGAAAAGATAAACACCTAGGACTACATCAAACTAAAAAGCCTCTGTATAGCAACAAAGACATCAACTAAAACAAAGAGACACCCTACTGACTGGGGAAAAAATCTTTGTACTCCATACAATTCATAAGGGACTGATCACAAAGATCACTAGTACACAACAAAACAAAGTAAAAATCCAGTAAAAAAAAAATGCGCAGAAGCACTTAAAAGACACTTCTCCAAAGATGAAATGCAGATGCCCAACAGGCATATGGAAAAATGTTCAACATCCCTTATAATCAAGGAAATGCAAGTCAAAACCACAATGAGATACACCTTAAGTGGTAAGAATAGCACATATCAAAAAAACTAGCAACAACAAATGTTAGTGAGGAAGTGCTGGTGGGAGTAAAACTGGTACAACTACTATGAAAAGCTCTACAGTTTCCTCTGACATTATCATATAATACAGCAATTCCACTTCTAAGGATTTACACAAAGGACACAAAAACCTGCATCCCTATGCTTATTGCAGCACTATTTACAATAGGTGAAATTTGGAAATAACCCAAATGCCCAAAAATAGATGATTGGATCAAGAAGATATGGTATATATACACAATGGAATACTACACAGCAGTCAAAAAGATAAACTCGTGCTACTTGCAGCAACATGGATGGAGCTAGAATAAATTATGCTCAGTGAAATAAGTCAGAAGGAAAAAAATATATTGGAAATTCTCATTTATAGGAAGAATATAGGGGAACCAAAGAAGACATTAGGGTAAAAAATAATAACAATACAGAACACAACAAAACCAAAATAAACAGAAGATTACAAACCAGAAACATCCTGCAGGGGAGGGACAGGGACCAGAAGAAGGATGGAAGAAATACAGGGGACTGTGGTGATGATGCATTTTGGGAGGAAATTCTAAGGGGACTACACCTGAGGGAGAGAAAAAGTAAACATTGTTTTAAAAATGAACAATGATATAAAATATATATAAATAAACAAATCTAATTTAAAAATTTGCAATAGTTTTATTTATAACACTTATTTTATATCAAACTAAGATATATTATTACTTCTATTACTTACCCATCATGAATAAATACTTCAGATACTCTTTTAAAACTAAAAAATCTACGTATTCATATGAGAATATTTATGGATATTTCTTTAATGTATTTGATGTCTCACCTTAGTAATATACTCTATAGAAAGACATTATGCTGAGCATTTTATACTCTAACATATCAGCTTTTTCTTTTGTTTCTAAAGCTGGAGTCCCAAGTAAACCAGGCATTCCAAAATTATTAGAAGGGAGTAAAAATTCAATACAGTGGGAAAAAGCTGAAGAGAATGGAAGCCGACTTCTGTATTATGTTCTTGAGATCAGGTACGCTTGTTTACAAAACGGCTTTGTAAGTGCTCAGCAGTTAATAATAAGGGCTTATAAGATCAAACGTAACAATGTTTGTGAGAGGGCATTTATAAATAAATGTAAAGGGTCCTTAATTTTAGAGCCTTGTATCTGTCACTATGGTCATACAATTCCTAGAGGTCAGACTTGGCACTCCAATTACAAGGCATCATTCTTGTCAGAAATCTGCAACTACTGGGTTAAAACTTCATGGAAATTCTTCAATCACCGGCACATGCAACTACTTTTTACTGAAGGTGTGCTTCAGAAGCTGAGCTGATGTCTGATGTTAGATGATGGTATGCATATACATTCTGAATATTTTAACAAGGTGGATACTGTTTACTGTTAGTAAGCAATGGCCTAGGTATTTTTTAGAATGTAAAATAAGGTTAAGGTCTGAAATGTTAGGCAACTTAGAGTCTGACTTCCTTGTGATACACAGTTTGCAGTGTATGTAAAAGTGCTGAAAAATGTGTCTTCAGTGAAACATGCAGTCTCAAATCCAGTCAGGATGGGGAGTGTTGTGCTTTATAAGTGACTCAGCTAAACTAATTCTATGCCAACTTGAAGAGAGAATTCCAAATTCCAAAGATACTCCCCTCGCAGGACTATGAAGCCATTTTTAAGAAACGCCAAGGACAAAGTCATTTCCACAATTATAGTCCTGGCAGCTTGAGTGTTAGATCTATTTTTGTTTCATCTTATTTTGGCATTTGAGAACCTTAAAAAATTTTACTGCTCACATTAGTGACCATATTTCTAACTAAAACCTTCTTGAAATTTCTATTACTGTTTTCAGCCTGACCTGAAGAACTATCTTGGTGGTTTGACTACAATTATGCTTACCACCCAGGACATGCACTGTTCTTGCTAACTCTGCTATGGTGTTGGCCTCAGTAACACCTTACAGCATAACTCCATAAAGACTGCATTTCCTTATCCCCATATCTCTATGGTGAGGACAGGGACAATAGGATAATAGAATGAATTCTTGAACTTTCAGCATCTCAAAGTGACTTCTTCCGTTACTGCCTTGTGTACTTACTGATGGTGCGGTGGTGGTACTTCCAAGTGCATGAACTTGGGTGCTGAACTTGAAGTTTCTTTTGGCTTCTGAAGTCTGCTATAACAAAGCACAGTCAGCTGTGAGGCTTAACAAGTCGACACAGATTCTCTCACAATTCTGGGGACCAGAAGATTGAAATCAATGTGTTGGCAGGATTGGGCTCCTGTTCTAAGAAAGAATTCTTTGCTGCTCATCTCCTGGTGATTGCCAGTAATCCTGTTTATTGTTGGTTGGCTGATAGGTGCCTCTCTCAGGCTCTGACTCTGTCATCCATAGTATTCTCCCTGCGTGTGTCTGTGTACTTTCTGTGCATGTTTTTGTCCAAATTTCTCTCTTACAAGGACTGGTCATAGGATTTGAACTTACCCTTTTTTAGTGTGACCTTACCTTCAATTGATACCATCTGTTATTGCTAAACAAGCAGCTATTTCTAAATAAGATTAAATTCACAGGGCCTGGGTGAGCATGAAGAAAGTATATCAAGTTATTTAGGTTTTCCCCACCATGTCTTTCCCCCTCTCCCTTTAGCCTCACAAGCTTCTCTCTCTTTTTATTTTTTTTAAGTGTGTGATAGTTTTTATAACTAGTTTGCCTTGGTTGACTCATTTATTATGTAAACACCCAAAATATATATATATATTTTGTGGTTCTGATACACAATTCCCACCAGCTCCTTCCATTAAGCTGTAATGAAAACATTTTTTTTCTTTCTTTAGTAACTGAATGATAGTCCACTGTGTGGATATGCTGCATGGTCTTAACCCAACCCTCTATGAGTGGGCAGTTTATTTCCACATTCCAGCTTTTGAAAATAATGATGCACTAAACGTTGTAGAGCGAATTGCTTTTTGAGTTGATTGTTTTATAAACTTTAGATGAAGAATGGTGCACTGACTTATAAGGTATTTCAGTTTTTAGTTTTTAGAGTTAATGAAACTCCCTTTATATTCTCACCAATAATAGAGTAAGTAACAGGGCCTTCCCTGGTGGTGCAGCAGGTTAAAGCACAGCACTAAGAAACTAAAACCACTTCAGCATGAGTTCTATCCCTGCCCTGGAGGTTACCACATGGAGTGGCAGACCTCCTTTGACCTGCCCACTGCTCCCCTCAGCAGTGTACTTTGTTGATCTGCCTGTTCTGCTCCCCACTTGTCTCTGGTGAAGCCTCTCACCGCCCCTGCACTTCTGACCTGTATCCTAGTTCTGTATGTATAAATAAATAAATCTTTAAAGAAAATAGAGTGATAGAGTTACACTTCCTTTGCCATTTCTCCAGCACCAGTTGGGGATCTTTTTTAACATAGGGCATTCTCACAGGTGGGAGTAATATCTCCCTGGGTTTTTACTTTATTAGAAGTGATGATGAACATTTCCCCACTTATATATTATCCTTCTGGATATCCTTGTTAGTGAACTGTCATATCTGCTGCCTGTTTATTATTTGGGTCAACTTTTATATTAAATTGATCATTTGGGGTGATATACCTTGGAATATTAATTCCTTGTTGGTTGTTTAATGTGTGCCGACTATATAATTTTGGGTAAACATGTGGATATTTTCTCTCACTCAGTAAGATATCTTTTTGGCCTACCTATATTTTCTCTCACTTTCTAAAATCTTATTAATTTGAGTAGTTTCTACTTATTTTTATTTCCCTTGACTTAAGGGTTGAGTTTCCAAAAATGTATTTGTCATAAATGTCATGAAAGCCTTGTTTCTTTTTGAGCTAAAGTTTGCACATCTGTAAAACGAAAATGCTAGTATGCTATATGCTTTTGTAAACAAAAGTATTCAACCAATGACAGAATTCATCCTTCTCTTCCTCAATGCCCAAAAATTGTGAGAAGCCATCTTGCACATTTTTAAGGGTCTCTTTCTTTCGGATCATAGCTGGTTGGATTGGAACAATGAATTTGTCAAAGGCTAGCATGAGACTTCCCAAAATGTACAAAACACCATGTCATAAAGTTTTACTCAGGATGACTCCTTGGTCACTTAGCTCCTGGTAACAGTTATGACCAGCTTTTACTTTCCCACTACTCCTGTTGTCACTCAACTCTGTCCCTCAAAGACTCAGCCCTCACTATCCTTGTTGCTATTTCAGAAAGAAGATCCTTAAGTAGGAGCAGAACTGACTTTTATCACTTATACCCTACACTTATTGTAGGTGGGTAAAGTCCTAAAACTGTCATGGTCTGAAAAATTTCAGACTTGCAAAATTCTCCATTGTTAGAGAAGACATAATGGAAGGTTTTTGACCTTGCCTTCCGTCTATGATTCTGTTGAAACCACTAAGTTACATCGTTTGCTTGTGCTGTTTCCCTGTTTCAGATGAGAATGATGTGGATGGACTGAGGGAGGCCAACACACGAGGCAATGAGCCTTGGCATATCAGATGTACAACAAGTTTGATAGTTGAAATAGCTTACGTTCTTTATTAATTTTATGTTCTATAGGTCATACAGATATGGTCTCAATGAACTACAGATGACACTAGGGATTTTAAACTAATAAAAAAATTCCCTACTAAAAATAATGGAATACATCACTGTCTAATGTTTGGAATGCTGAAGAAAGTTTCTAGGAAGAGGCTCTTCAGTTTTCTTGGTCATTGGTTATTGGTAATTTTCCTGATAGGCTTGATGTTGACTCCATGCATTGTTGGGATGACTTTATAAGATGATGCTATAGTCTGTATCCACATTGTACAAGAGGAATGAGACCAAGAGAAAAATGTGCAACAGAAGATGCTTTGGAGTTCTGTCATTAAAATGACACATGAGCATTAGAAGTAACATACAGGTCATTTTGTACATTCTCTATAGTTTTGATTTTTCTCCTTCTATTGCAGAAAGAGCATTTCAAATGAGTCGCAGAACCAGAATTTAATGTGGAAGATGGCCTTTAATGGAAGCTGTGGCAGCATTTGCACATGGAAATCCAATAGCCTTAAAGGAGTCTATCAGTTCAGAGCAGTAGCTGCAAATCGTCTGGGGTTTGGTGAATATAGTGAAGTCAGTGACAGTGTTATATTGGTGGGAGGTATGTCACTGTATCTGTCTAGAAACTACATTTTCTACAAAAATTCTCAGATAAAGATAAATGAATTTCTAACATTAGCAATAATTGAGGGACCATATAACTTACCCTCAAAGACTATTGAAACACTCATTTATCTGATGTGATCTTCCTAAAACCTCAGAGCCATCAAGTCACTTTTCTTTTCAGTAATGATCAGCTGCTTCCTAATCCCAGCACCTCATGTTCCTAGTAGGTTTCCAGTGCTGCCCACAATTTGAACTTGATTTATCTATTGTTAATATTCTGTTCATGGGTATTCTCTTATACATAATGGTTCTAAAACTGTACTTTGTCTCTTCCCTAGTTTCTGTATCATCCACTGTGCTTTATATTTTAGTTAGTGTCACACTTTTTGTTAGCTTGGTGTAATCATACTGCTGATAGTTAAGCTAACTGAAGCACAAGCTGGATCACTTAACCTCTCTCCATTCACTGTCTTCAGATTGAATTTCAAACTTTTGTTTCTCCTTTGAGGACTTTTATGGCTTCTCCTTCATTTCCCCCAATATTTATCCTTATTTGTAACCCTATTAGACTAGTGCAAGTTTTTGATGACACTAGGTCTTTTTATTTTTTGTTTTAACATACAGAAGGCATTTGTTTCTTATGATTCTGGGACTGGGGAGTCCACAGTCTAATGGCAGAAAATTTGATGTCTGGCAAGAGCCTACTGCTGGTTATGATACTGCATGACCCCTCATTAAAGTTTAACTGATATTCTATGGACAATATGAACTATTGCATTTACATTCAATAATTCTTCTTAAAACATTCTTATTTGTTTTATAGTTAGTTATCTGGGTAAGATTCTTCCTGATAAGAATCAAATAGTAAATATTTTAGGTTTTGCAGGCTGTACCCAAATGTCCATATATTCTTTAAATACTACTTAAATATATTCTTCTTCTTTAAATAATACTTAAAAATATAAGTAACTCTTAGCTTAGGTGTGGTACATACCCAAACTGTAGCTAGGCTAGGCCTGCATTCTGCAGTTCCCCACGCTCTGGGCTGCTTGGTTGTCTCTTCTATTCAACAGGAATGACCTAAAAAAGGCATCATGTTTTCATGTTTATATTTCTAAGTCTGAAGCCCATCAGAGTTCAATGTGTTTGAAGAAGTTATAAAAGAAATAATAATCCCAAGCATAGAATAGGTGAAGGCGAAAATGTTTTTGTCATAATTCATTGAACAATTATATTGACATATTTCCTGTTGCTTTAAAGTAGAAGGCTGAATGTTTATGTCCCAATGTGTGTGGATAAACCAGTTTTCTGGAAGAAGAAATAAAACCTTGTTTTTGATTTCTCATGTATGCATGGTATAAATACCCTCATAGGTTTCAAGCTATCTGGCTTACTTATTTGTTTTTTTGAAGACATATACTTTATTGCCTATCCTGTCCACTGTGTAAGTTATACTGCACTGCTTCATGCCACTGTGGTAGCTGGGGGGTAGGTTCAAGCTACCTGGTTTAACATATGGCTTGCAAAAACCTGGTAAGAGATAACACTAGTATATTTACAGGAGCTCATGTTAGTATATGTGGCATATCACAGGGACTATCTAGCTCTACTCTGTGAATTAATTTCTTTCTCTCATTTATTTCATTAGATGATTTTTGGACACCAGAAACAAGCCTTATACTTACTGTTATCATTGGAATATTTCTGGTTGTTACAATCCCATTGATCTTTGGTGAGTATAATAGCTTTTTAAAAATAAGTAATATACTGATTATTTGATCACCCTGACTGATTTATCTTAGTTTATTTAAACCCCTACTTGAAATAAATTCCCAATATCACCTTTGACTATAATTTTATAAACACTAACTTCTGTGAATTTTTTTCTGAGTTAGGGGTAATTACTTTATGATAAATATATCTATACTATGATAAATATATCTATACTTATACTTCATGGTACAAAACCAGATAAAACTACTTTTCCAGGCACTAACCTTAGTTTTGTTAAAATAATATTTACTTCTGACTGGTAATACAACAAGAGTTTTGTTACTTATAGCTTGGAATAAGTAAAAGAAAAGTAAGTCTGAATATAGAAAAAGTGTGGGATTAGTGGGATACCCCAGACAATCCTTGGTTGGGATAGACTGTCTCTAGGCAGACAGCCCTGTATAGAATGAACAGGGCCTCTTAGCACAAGATCCATTTCTGGCTTGGGGGATCCACTCTTGCTTTCAGACATCTGTTAAGCTTATTTGAAATCCCTGCACATTTTTAAATGACCAGGAAAGGAGAATAATTAGGTTGAATATACAGAAAGCTCACTTTCCCTCTGTTGTCATTTTATACTGACATGATAATCCTAAAAGTCTTTTTTTTTAAGAAAAGATATGTTTAAATGATGAGAAAATACAGTGAAAATACCAAAAGGATGATCGAATATTGGTCCTGTGGGCTTACCATTGTGATCATACAATTCTGGTTCATTCTTGTTGTTTCAGTATAACATCAATAGTACTTTTCCCAGTCACCAAAATTTCCTCATTTGTATGACACATGCCATACTATCATTTGTCAATACTGTGAGTTCCACATTACAAGAAAGGCTTTATGCTTAATGGAAAAGAACGTGCATGTACATGTTCAGGAAATGGTGGCTTACTTACTTGATGTTTCAGGAAAAGCTATCTAAACTCTCTCAGAATAAAGAAAGCCCATATTTAACTATGTGTTCTAAATCTTCATTCTTTCCCCAAACTGATTAGGGTAAGCTACGAGAGCACATTGAAACTTAAGATTTCTTTTCACAGCTTCCCATAGGATAATATATAAAATTCCTTCAGCTAACTTGGAAAGCTAACCACTTCAGCTGACCCTGCTACAATATTAACCTGTGGTTCCAGGGTGTCTAAATATTACACAGCGGATGTTTGCACCATTAGGCCAGTCTCTCCAGAATTACACATTTGACTGCATTACATTTGGCAGTTGGCATATAGCTGGACAGCTTGTTTGCTTTCCCACTGGGAAGGAGTGTTACGCGAAGAATCCTTCATCTGCTTTTTGATTGTCTACTTGTCCATCACCATTATTTAAACACATAACTCTAGTGGATGAACATGAAATAATTTCAGATACCTTATTGTGCTTCCAAGACAGCCTGTGGATATCTGATTTTCTCAGGACTTAAAGGTCTTTATTGCATTTGGAACTCAAGGATTTTTGAGCATCGTTAAGCTAATTCAGTTCTTTGCTTTTAGTGGTAGTGCATGTGGTTTTACTAGTAGAGTGTGAAAATGCATGCTAAAGACTGAGTTATTACAATAATGACAAAGAGCAATTCTTTCAATATTTGTATTGTTTTGAGAACTTTTATCAGTGATACTAATCAATATAAAAGTGAAACTAGCATTTGAAATAAATATTGACAATCTTTGCTTTGGTTAGTGAGCCCCTAGAGTATAATGTTAGCCTTAGGCTGGTCTGGGAGGAAAGGTAAAACTGTAAAATACAGGTGATGCTGGAGCTGTCATTCTATGAGGTTAGCCACACTGTGTGAAGAGATAAATTGTGAGATATGTGTTAAACCACAATGAAAGGCAATAGTTAATGAGATGTACAAGGCAGTGTCATAAACATGCTAACTGGTGTCACTGGGGCCTGACGAGACCCTAAAACTGGGTATTTAAAAGGTTTCATTAGCTAAGAAAGTCTCTCACATGCATTTTATTCACTAACCTGTTGGCTACAGAAGCTACTGTTACTACTGTTAAATAAAATTCAAATTTCAATCATCAGTTTCACAAAGTATGCTTGCTGTTTTCAACTTATGAGTCAGTAGTCCAGTGTAGGTGGGTAATCTTATTGACATACTTGCATTTTAATCTTTGAAAATGTCATTTATTTTTAATAATTGTGAAAATATTTGCTCATTATCTGAAGAAGACAATGGATATCTCCCATAATTTCACAATTAGGGAGGATCACTGCTAAGACTTGGTAGATTTTATTTCAATAATTTATCTATGTATTTGAATATAATAATCTGTCATCGTATTGAAGATCATCCCCACATCTATTGCGAAGTATAAGTCGGATATATCTGGACTTCAAGATAAGTTTGTTTCACTAATAATTGTGATATAAATTTGTTTTGGTTTATTCAATTCTAGTGTATAGGCAATCTTGCAAAATAAGTTCTAATATTAATATACTTCAACTTGTTCACAATAGCAATAAATATGTTAAACATTATTCTGAGCAGTAGGTACAATGATATTAAAAGTATGCATTTTATATGACTTTAAAGCTGGAATTAACTAGTTTGTCTATTATGAGAAAATTTGTGGATAAAATTCTATTGTTCTAACTAACAATGTTCTTATGCATAAACACTGAAAGTGGACTGTTAATATTTCCTAAAAGAAATAATGTTATTTTTTGCAAATTATGTCCTTTTCCCTTCATAGTCTGGCACAGAAGATTAAAAAATAAAAAAACTCCCAAGGAAGGACTAACAGTTCTCATCAACGAAGACAAAGAGTTGAGCGAGCTTCGAGGTCTGGCGACTGGTGTAGGACTGGCTAATGCCTGCTATGCGATACAGTACGTAAGACCCTCACTGTGAGCATCTAGATGAAGACAGGGCAGAGAAAGAGAGTGTCCATGTATCCCAGCGTGCTGGAGATTGTCCTGCTTATGTCCATTTCTCTGACATAATTTTTAGTAGCATCCCCTTAACTCTGAAGTGTGTCCTGAGATTGATGGCAAATTTATGTGGTTATCTTATTCTAAGGAAAAAAAAATACAAATCAGTTGTTTTCAGTGTTTTACCTCATAGTTGAAAAATAAATGAAACAAGAAGATAAATACTATTTCGAAGACAGTAATTGGTTACATGGTTGGTTCAACTAGAGGTAATGATAGGAATTCCAAAGGTCTTATGCATGTGCTAGTTAATCAGTCTTTCCCCATCTTTAGATGTTGTATGGTGATTACCTACAAACCCTTTTTAATATAGATGAGTTTGAACTTGCGCTGTTACTATGATTATAGAAAAAATTAAATGTCTCTTGATAATAGATGCTAAATATGGTCCATGCCAAAAAGAATTGTAACTAACCATAGGTGTTGCTTCTAGAAATTTACAGTTTAAAATGTAAAATGAAGGCTATGAAATAGACATGGAGGCAATCTAAATCAATTATTCAGAAGTGATTTTTCTTAGGAAAAATACTCACCATATGTGATTTCAAAATGCTCTTTTAAATAAAACCTGACAACATTTCATTGAAAGAGCTTAACTGTCTTAAAAACCTGATGGAGATGGAGTTAGTTTTGTGTGTGTTTGTAATCAATAAATTGTGTTTTACATATAAGATAAGATGTGTGAAACAGGTAAAAAATGAGCTTTTTAGCTCATCAGCCCAAGTGTATTTATGACTAATTTGCATCAGCTTTTAATTTTTGGTAACTTGAAGAGGTTACTGGCTGTTAACATTAACAGAGCAAGAAGGTACAGTGTGGATATTTCAAGCAGTGTACACACATGCATATATCTCTAAAAATGAAGGTACCTTGAAGCAAAGGGACAGATTTTGTTAAGGATTTGGAATCAGGAAGGAATATTTGGGATGGTAGAGAGGAAAGGAAGGAGAACACAAAATTCCACATCCCTTTATTATGTAGAATTCACTACAACATTTTAAAGTCATGAGCTCTCTTTCTCATATTATTTTTCTCTCAACCCAACTTGTGAACCTACTAAACCGTATGTATTTTGATATTTTGAGAGACAACAAATATTATCATTTTCCAGTACTCTTCCAACCCAAGAGGAGATTGAAAGTCTTCCTGCCTTCCCTCGGGAAAAACTGACTCTGCGTCTCTTGCTGGGAAGTGGGGCCTTTGGAGAAGTGTATGAAGGGACAGCGGTAGACATCTTAGGAACTGGCAGTGGAGAAACCAAAGTGGCAGTGAAGGTAACACAGATCTTGGCTTAACATGTTATGCAAGCATATTCACCTAGATCTACATGGATTCAACTAGAATGCAATTTTATGTGATGATGCATTTGATATAAAGCAGTTCTGCCATGGCAGTATCAAAAGCAGTAATATTCACTAGGCAAACAAATGAGAGTGACTGTGTTCCAATAAAATGTTAGTGTGGAAACAGAAATTTGAATTTCATGCAATTTTCATGTGTTACAAATATTATTCTTCTTTTGAGCCTTTTTTAGCCATTAAAATTAAAGCATGCTTATTATACATCAATAAAGTTGGGGGGGGGAATTAACACTTAAAACAAGTGACATACTATATTTGTTCCATGGGCTGTAGTTTTGTGGCTCTGTACACAATTTTTCATCATGGTTTATTTAAGGTGGAAAGCCCTGGATATACTCTCAGATTTTTGTGAAACTTTCTTTTCATTAAGGGATGATGAGTCTTTCATGCAATTGAGTAATAGACTGATCACTGCTTGTTAGGGGTTTATTGCTTTGAGGGTGGGCTGTACAATCAGAATTGGACAAAATTCTCTCCAATTCCTAGTGAGATTGTTTGAAAGTCCTTTCACTTATCCCAACCTCAACTTATTTTAAAAAGTGTTTATTTTCCTACATTTCAGGATGAGTGCTGGTACTCATGAGGTATGGTGTCAGGTCAGAACCCTCTTAACTTTTTATATGCATATTGCCTCCTGGTCCCAAAATAGTTGCCAAGAAAAGGAAAAAGATAGTCTTAGCAATAGATGTTCAGGAAAGTAAAGGTTTTCAACAAATCTCTCTCTACCTCAGCTGTTTTCTTCTTATGTCACGGACCAAAACTGAATCAAGTGACCAACTCTTAATTGCAAAGGAGACTGGAGAAATGAGGAACACGACCTTCATGATTAGCTTAGGATCAAAGCAGAGGGAAATAGGTATTGAGTTGAAAAGTGAAAAATCAGAAAGGAGTCTAAATGCCAATTTGTTCTCTTTTGTAGCATTCTATAATTTAGAGGGACTGTTTGTAAATACTACAGCATCTTTTATCTATAAGACTTTCCTGTTTGAATACTATAAATAACAGGAGCTAACTTGCGAGTAGGCTTAAAGAGCATATGCATTTTCTGTTATCTGTTTCCAGCCTTCAGGGTGAATGTTACAAAACAAAGATTATCTCCATTAACCCACTGAGCTCCCAGAAATGTCTATATATTGATGCTGGGCTTGTTTTATGTTGCACAGACTTTGAAGAAGGGTTCCACAGACCAGGAGAAGATTGAATTCTTGAAGGAGGCACATCTGATGAGGTATTAGGGCAGCTCTGAAATAACTTTCCCTTAGTACCAGTAGAAACTTTTTATATCTGATCAATGGGTTTTTAACTTTCAAAATGACTTGACATCACAGCTCATACCTAAACAAGAATGACTAGTATTTCAATGAAAACATGTTTGTAGAATCTAGTAAACTGTAGAAATCAGTCTTCTTAACCTGGGTATAGGCTGTCCTCAGACAAAAGTTTCTCCTTTTTTTAGTAAAAATTATATTTTGCAAGTGAATTTTAGTAAAAATTATATTTTGCAAGATGCTCATCTTTAAATATGCTTATATCTAAATGTATAAATTTATGTCAAGGAGATTAACTACTGAATTCTCTTAAGTACAGTGTCAATGAAAATATCCCTAGTATTGGTAAACTTGTCTTCAAGTCTAGAATCAGTTTATGGTCATGAAAACTTCTTGGCAGATTCAAGGAGTTCAAGGCTATGGAATCTAATTCAATTTGGGCTCACTTGCTCTGACATTTGAGGAAAGAGTTTAACCACAGTGGGCAAGTCTGAGTTGTTTTTCTAAAAGGGAGAGAGTATTTGTAATTTGATGACTAAAAGCATCATTTTTCAAGTATATTTTGAGGACATACATTAATTAAAAGATTAACTTTCGGGCCCTCCATGGTGGGAAGGGTTAAAGTACAGCAATGTGAAGCTGGCCACAGCCATTTCAGCATGAGTTCGATTTCTGCCCCAGAGCTGACCCATATGGAGTGACAGGTCTCTCCTGACCGACCTGCTGCTCTCTTCAGCAGTGTACTTTGTTGGTCTGCCTGTTCTGCTCCCCACTCTGTCTCTGGTGAATCCTTTCACTGCCCCTGCACCTCTGGCCTGTACCCCAGTTCTGCATGCATAAATAAATCTTTTTTTAAAGAAAAGAATAACTTTCTTTCCCCAGACATAAAATTCTTAATCTACAATTTATTTCTTGTAAAAACCAGCCTCTCGGTGCATATGCACTGGCCACTAGGGGTTGCCATATTACCTCCTGAAGCCCAGGAGGCACACTACCTGGGAAAGGAGGCTTGGAGAAAAAAATCAGGGGTTTGAAGAAGTCTATGGATAAAAAATTGCTCTATTCATCCAGGATCCCTCAGTCAGGACTTCCATGGCTGTCCTCTCATCTCACCTGACTCTCTCCAACTTTTAGCAAGTTTAATCATCCGAACATTCTGAAGCAGCTTGGAGTTTGTCTGCTGAATGAACCCCAGTACATTATCCTTGAACTGATGGAAGGAGGAGACCTTCTTACCTACTTACGTAAAGCTCGGATGACAACGGTAGGAAAGGGGGCCCGCAGAATTTATTTTGGAATGCATATCTATGATTTCTTAGTAATTTTCTTTCTTTATTAATCTTTATTAATCAATAAGCTATTATTCTGGCTAGTAGTAGAAATTTAGAAGACTTCTATGGAAAGAATGACTACATTTCCTTCATACTGGATTAGGACAATTAGAACTCTGGACTTTCATATTTGTTTATTTGAAATTGCTTTTAATGCTTAGTAGAAAAATATGACCTCATTGGCAGAATCATATTTTGTAGGGATCAGGAATCATGTAGCATTGGTAAAGCACATATTTTCTCAGCCCCAGGTTCTAGCTCTTATGTCTTAATTGAGTACAGATTTATAGGCCCCTGTCCAGTTAACAGATCTGTTTGGATTCGATAAGAGCATCTCAAGCTTATTTTGGCCAAAACAGAATTCTTGATTACATATTCCTCCTCCATTTTATTCAGTTTCTTGCTTTGTCTTCACCTACAACAATTTTAGCAAGTCTTGCAGTTCTATAGTTCTGCCTACAGCCCCAGTTCATCCTCTTTATTTTATTTTTTTTTTTTTTGTTGTTGTTGTTCAATGCCTACACTAGTGCCTGGGACTGGGATGGTTAGAGAACCAGGCAGGCAGGCAGGCTGAAGACATTCTAAAAAATCCACTAGCAGGAAACAGGGTACTAGGCACTAGGTTGCAGCCCAGGAGGAGGATCTTAGGCAAAGAAAATCTTTAGAGCACAGTAGATTTCGTCAAGAGCAGAGCAACCAGTGAACCATTAACATGCCCTTCAGGTACTGAAAACACAAATCATGAGACCAGTGTCCAGTGGGCTAGAACAAGGTTGCAAGGGGCTGATTCCCAAGAGTAAGACCAAGTTAGTTATCAGGTTCAGTGCTGTTGAGTGGGAACATAGCAATGCTGAAACCCAGAAGATAAGGATTCTTCCTAGTTTGTGGGCAAGATATTACACCCAATAGTGACATATGGCCAACAGTTAAACTACTAAGCACTATTAAGTGGGAATCTTACTATTCAAGAGAGCAGCTCCTATTTATTAGCTCCTGGTTATATTTCAGCCAAATGACATTATTTATATCAAATCCTATGCAGTGAGTATTATTATTCTCATTTTACATACAAGAAAGTTTCATAATGAACTCAACTGAGTGAGTTATTTAAGCAATTTGAGCAAATTAACACAACTAGAAAATAGCCTCAAATTTCCATCTGTCTGACCTGATACAGTCTCATTTATGGATATTTTGATGGAAAGTATACAAATTTAGTTATTTTCCTCTTTGACTGAGTTCTTATAACCATAACATAAAAATTCCTTTAAAACACATATATGATGTACATATACATGTGTGACAGACAATATACAAAGTATATTTTGTGGGTAAAGTGTCTGTAATTTTTCATTCATTTCTTACAGTTTCATGGCCCTTTACTTACCTTGGTCGACCTTGTAGACCTGTGTGTAGATATTTCTAAAGGTTGTGTCTACTTGGAACAGATGCATTTCATTCACAGGTACAGTGACATCCTGGATACGTGGTTCTTATGAATATTGTACAATAATCACCTATAGTTTGGGTAAAACATACAACATACACATTTTTATTCTTTTAAAGGCCAATAATTTCTGTAAAAAAAAAAAAGTCTCTCCTCTCTATAGCCTGACTAATGTTATTTGTGTTACTTGTGTGATTTCTGGGACTTTATTATTATTATTACTATTAAATATAGTTTCTGCTATAGGGATCTGGCGGCTCGGAATTGCCTTGTCTCTGTGAAAGACTATAGCAGTCCATCACGGGTAGTGAAGATTGGGGACTTTGGACTCGCGAGGGACATCTATAAAAATGATTACTATAGAAAGAGAGGGGAAGGCTTGCTGCCTGTTCGATGGATGCCTCCAGAAAGTTTGATGGATGGAATCTTCACTACTCAATCTGATGTCTGGTGAGCTTAACAGGACACAGAAGAACCAGTCAATGTCAAAGAAGGAAGGGGTCACAAAAGGTCACCCAACTTTGTTTTCTATGTGAAAAACAGAAGACCAGAGAGATTAAGTGATTTGCCTCAAGCTACAGTGAAAAAGAGTAGCCTAGGTGGGACTAATCCTGGGTTTCTCCTTTTTACTTCCCTCCCTTCTTTATTTTGCTACCATATCGGACACAGGTAAATTATTTCAAATATGTTATTACTCCCCAAATTGTAAAAAACAATGCTATGAGGAATTGTGCCTATGAATTGTTTGGTCATTGATTTTTTAGGTAAACATTAATCATGGATCTCAAAGATTAAGACCTAGGGAAGTTGAATGTCTGTATTATTTGAATAAGACTTCACATTTTTGCTTGTTTACCCAAAACTTTTGAGTTGGATTGCTCAAAATAAAGACATTTAAAGTCAATAACCTTTAATTTGGACTCACACTAGAAAGAGTTGGGATGAGGTAAAATTGTTCCTTAGTGTTGCCAGTTTTTATTCACACTTTCCTACTGTATGTATACTAATTTTCAAACTCAGAAGTAAAAACATAAAATTCTCTCTATCATGCACCATAAGTGTGTCATGTGGGTGATTGAAGATTTTAGTAGTGGAGGGCTGCACTGCAGTGTTAGTCCATAGGGTAAGCATGGTGTGTGCATGTGTGTGTGTGCACATGCATGTGTCTTTCATGCCTCCACGAAGCCTCCCTATCACTTTTGAAGTGTTGCTGAGAAGCAGCTATTCTACTTTTTGTGTTTTTTTTTTTTTAGGTCAACTTGCTTATAAGTCTCCCATTTGCCTCATATTGGGTCAATAATTACTATCACAATGAAGATTTGCAACAGCCCCAGGGATATTTATATTAAACTATGATATGGATCATTTGAAATACATATAATTAAAGCTAATTCTTTAATATTCTTAGGTCATTTGGAATTGTGATTTGGGAGATTTTAACTCTTGGCCATCAGCCTTATCCAGCTCATTCCAATCTTGATGTTTTAAACTATGTGCAGGCAGGAGGGAGACTGGAGCCACCAAGAAATTGTCCTGATGATCTGTAAGTTAATTCTGCTAGCACAAATACCCCCAAAATAAAATTAAATGCACGTGCAATCTTATGCTTCATTGACATATTTTTAATAATGAAATTTAGATTGTGTAAGTTATATAAAATTCAAATTGTGACACTTAGTTTACTCAATGTGTGATGGTTTCTTTACCTATACATGCTATTTCACTTCAGAAGCAAAATTTAGAAGTGTAGAATAGATTTAAAGTACTGGTTAGGTAAATTCTAGGAAACAAATGAAAGCTACGTGTGTGTGCATATTGTATGTGTGTATGGAGTGCATACACACCAGACACACTTCATCACTTTGTTTTGGAACATCTGTTTGAGCTAATATCTTACTCTGCATAGTAGGAAGTTCCTATTAACAGGAATATAATGCTAGATTACCATTATCATAGCTGATACTGGGATTTAGCCCTACTGAAAAACAGGCAGTTTGTAACCTATTTATGAATTTAACACAAAGTGACTCTAAGTGATATTCTAACTTGAGTCGGGCCACTTATTTGTACAATTTTGCTATCCTCAGAAGAGTAGGTAATTTTGATGTAAATAAAAGGCAAGTTATTGTACTAAGTACTATGTTACCTTCTTGTGAACAACTTCTGGGGATATCCATTTTGAATTTTTGAAGCTTTTTCAAGAGGTGTTTTACCCAAGAGTCTTCTAAAAAAAGAAAGAAAGAAAAACAAGTATTAAGCATAAACTCCTTCCTTGGTTATGTATATACTTCTATTTAAGGAATGCATGGGATATAAGTTGTTTAAACAAGGGGCATGCCTTTTTAGCATCTGCAAATGCATTTTGAAAGAAAAGACACACGAGGAGCAGTTGGATAACAGGCCAACATGTAACGAAGTGCTAAACTGTGTGGTACAGACAAGCGCAGGAGGAATTAGCGGTATGCAGAGACACGCATAGTGTACCGATGTGACTATGCTGTGTTATTTAGAGGATTATTCAGACTGAAGCCAAAAGATGATTAAGAACTGGGCACCTTGGTTGGATGCTGTGCTGTGAATGCTTTCGTATTATTTAAATCTTCCAACTGAAGAAGAAGGAGATTCTAATCAATGTTTATTTCTGACTGCTTTTGCAGCCCCTAGGATATTTACAGGGGATCAGATATGAACAGTTTTGGTAGTAGTGCCTAAAAAAATGATAACGTGGGGGAAATGAAAAACTTTCTGTTATTTAGAGATAAGAAATTATGTAACATTTTGAAAAACCCCCATCATACTGAAGTTTTAAAGTTGTTTTTATTAGTCAGCAAGCACCATTATTTTTGCAGCTCTTAAACTTCTCTTGTAGTATCTATTCATAATTATGCCTCATAATTTCAGCTGCACAAAATTTTCATGATGTTGTGGGAATTTTATCTGGCAACTCTCCTTCTACTACTCCTCCTACTTCGCCCTTTCCTCCCCTACCAAGGGAGGTTATCTTCATCACAATTATGCACTTTTTGATAGAGAGTTTGGTAGTCAATTACAGAATCATACATTTGGATTGGTGTATTTATTTATTTTGTTTTGGGGGGATGGATATAGACAACTACTTATCCTATTGTGGAGCAGAAAAATGTAGCTATCTTGACTTTTGTTCTATTCAAAGCAATGCAAAAAGTGCAACTAGAGAGATAAGGAAAAAGAATGGTTTGTAAGTGGAAAAACATCATATTTTGTATAATCTTATCATTATAAATAATTCATCAGTTGGATATGTTATTGTCCTAATCTTATGAAAGAAGTTTATTTAAACATTAGTAATTAAGAAGTAAGCAATACTCTTTGCCCCCAATACTGCATGCTTTCAGAGCCCTGGGAAGGGTTAAAGATCCGTTGCTAACCTGCTAGGAAATGGAGTGCTCAGTGATGCCATTCAGTTTGGCCACTAACTTAAGTTGTCATGAGATAGATTAACTACTCTCCTTAGAGTACAGAGGAAACTGGTTTTTATTTGAAGCAGTTTTCTGAGATCACAGACCCAGCTTAGAGGTTGAAAGTCTGCACTGAGCCATGAGTGCCTTCTATTCACTGCTTAAATACTCAGCACCTGGATGCACTCTGGTGTCAGGTGAACCCATGGACGTGTATGCTGTGCTCAGTTATCAATGGAATGCGGGAGTTCACAGCATTCTGCCCTGGATGTACAGTGGGAAGTCCTCTCCTCAGTATTTTTTCCAACTTTTAGTTTGCACAACAACAATACTGTTCTGGAGGAGAAATAGAATCAAAGGGCAACATATTCAAGTGTGAGTTCTTTAGGATTCTCTGACAGATGTATCCCTGTAACATCTGGAATTATTGGAAATCTCCTCAAAGTAGGAGGCAACAATGGAAGGACATGAGATTCAATATCCTATTTTGCCCTCTAAAAATATGTCTCCCTAGATGCTAGCTGATCTCTCCAGGATTGGGTAAATGAGTGAGGGAATTCTTAAAATTTTTACCTTATATCCTTTTTAAAGATACCTATGAAACTCATACCCTTACTACTGAAAGATGATGTGGTATTTTCATCTATCGAATTTCAAGGACTTTAATACTCATTAGAGGCTGTTGAATTTCAAGGACTTTAATACTCATTAGAGGCTAATAATAATGAACATGATTAACAAAGCCTGTGCTATTTGGAGAAAAAAGTTAAGTCAGAAGAATAAAGGGTTGGTATGGTAAATGGTAAATTTGAACCTGAACACTGGGGTAAATGAGATAGTTCAGATGTGATGAGTAAGTATCTGTTTAGAACTAGAACAATCAGCTTAGGCAAATTTTAAGAGAAGTGAAGGACCTGACAGTATGTTATGCTTTGAGTATTTGTAAATATTTTAGTATAATAATGCCTGACAATGAATTGTGAGAATGCATATTTTTTTTATTAAAAAGTTTATTTTTACATCATTTTGCACATTTTTTTTT